TATATACATACATTATAATATGTATATGTAAAGCAACACGGTATATATATATATATGTAGATGTATTACACAGATCTACTTGTCAGTATGTAGATATGTACATGTACATGTATGTAAACATTATGTATATATATATATATATATATGTGTGTGTATATATATATACATATGTATATGTATATATATATATATATATATATCTCTGTCATAATAATAATACTATATTATAACCCACAATGCATGTGTATCTTGAATTGTCCTTTACAAATGTGCTTCAGCTGTCTATAATATGCATGATGATAACATATATATATATATATCTTATAATACATATATATATACATATATATATACACATACATATACATATATATATATATATATATATATATACATACATATATATATATATATATTCATAGTTATATACGTACTATACTGCAATTGCACATGTATCATTGCATCCCAATCCCGACCACTCGATAGTATGTATATGTATGTCTGTATATGTTCATCTATGTTTACAGCAGCTATACATTAACTATGTATTATGTTGTGACTATGTGTTTACACTCCTGGACACATCTGTAATATACTTATGTATAGAAGTGTTTTATATGTGTAGTATATATATATGTGTAATATATACATATATATATATATATATAGTTATACGTATACATGTATACTGATATAACACTATATATGCATGCTTATACATGGTTGTGAAGTACGTAGACAGGACCACTTGCTATCTGTAGCGACTCCTGCAAGCACTGCCTGCTTCTGCTTACGAGTTTCAAGGCTTCGGACAGGCCTGTGAGCAGCTGATCAAGGTGCTGCGAGTGGCCATTGAGCCTCGCGGGATCATTGGGGTTAAACTGATAAGGCATAGGGGTCCTGGGTGTCCTAGCAGCTAACTAATTATTACAATATGTGTAGAACCCGATTAGGATATCCTTTCGACCTATAATAGAACCTTTGTGTTATATGCCTCCCTCCTAGTTATTGTGCCGGGCAAAGTGATCAGCTGCAAACCCAGCAGGATTGGATCAGTATATTTTGGAGGAAAACCCGGTCTCAAGCCAGTGCTGTTGTGCTTTGCATGCAAGACCGTTGATTCGTCCGATGACATGTAGCTGCTGACACCACGGACCCACAGACAGTTCTCTTGCGATGATCTAAGTAGAGCCAGGAGGTTCCGAACCTGCCCCGCATGTGAAAATCACGTGAAATTCTGTGAAATCCCGTGTCCGATCCGCTAGTTTGGGGCCCGAAACGACGTAGAGCTACGTAGGTCGAATGGCAACGGATGTGAAATCTGCGTTAAAATCTGTGAAAACCCTTTCCTGGGAACCGCTAGGCGTGAAATATAAGTGAAAACGTGTGAAAACCTACATGGCCCTTACGTAGGCTATCATGCCCTGTACTTTACGTAATCTAGCTCCGTCGGCTGGGTTCCTTTAGTTCTCCGTGTTTTGCCCCCACGGGGCTCCAATTCGATTGGCCGAGACCCATGGGCCCGAAGCCCGGAGCTGCAGCCAAGCAGGCGACCAAGAAGAAGAAAGATGAAGCTAATTGCATTCATCATACTCCTTTATGCTAGTTTCCCAATCGTTCAACAGCCCAACCCAGCGAACCAGCTCTCGGCCTGCCACTTGCTGCCCAGGATGACTTCTGTATGGAGAAGGAGATGGAGATGGCCCTGCAGCGATGCAACTCCAAGCTCTCGAGAAGTGCCTAGGATGCAACTGTTTGCCTGTATATGCGGCTTGCCATTGGGTTTCTGCGATTCAACTAGAAGCTAGCTTAGGTAGCAGCTGCGAAGCCCTGAGTGGGGGCCAAGTTCGCCCAAAGTCAGCAGGGGCAAAGCCAGCAGCGGGGGCAGTGGCAAAGGCATCAGGGGCAGTGGATAGAACAAGGTCTAGAGGACGTGCCGGTCGAGGTGGAAGTGCAGAAGCAGACCCTGGTCCAGCTGCAAAGCGAGCCCCTAGGACACCCTGTGCCAAGAACCTCAATGATGCTTTTGAAGCAGCTGTGGACTCTCCCTACCACAAGAAGTTGCGGATGGAAGCCCCTCATCCCGCAACGGAGGAGCGGATATTGCAAACAATATTTGTAATAATAAGTTCAGCCTCCGACCCTAGCTTGCTACAACGATAGTTATCCCGATATATAAGCAGGACACCCTACGTGACCTGGACATGGGTGAGGGCCACGACTGCGACTCTCGGCTACTGCACTTGCCTGTGACTAGGGATGATCTTGCGAGGAGCTTCGGGTCCATTCAGACTTTCGGCCGGGTGAGTCCCAGGATCCCAATGCTCAGCTAGTTTGCCCTGCAGATGTTCACAAGCCCAATTAAGCCCAGGATTCCGCTGCCCGGCGATCTCGCTCTGCTGGTGATGTTCAGAAACCCGAGAAGTCACGACAGGATCCAGATGCCCGTGAAGTTACCCCTAGTGATGCTGCTGGACTTCGGAGGACCAAGAAGAAGTCCCCACAGCATCCCGATGCTGATAAAGTTCGCCCTTGTGATGTTCAGAAGCCCGAGAAGTCCCCACAGGATCCCAATGCGCCGCAAGTTCACCCAGGTGATGGTCAGAAGCCCGAGAAGTCCCTACAGGATCCCGGTGCCCGTGAAGTTCGCCCAGGGTCCCTACGTACACAGGATCCCGATGACCCGCTAGTTCGCCCAGGTGATGAACAGAAGCCGAAGAAGTCCCTGGATCCCGATGCCCCACAAGTTCGCCCAGGTGATGTTCAGAAGCCCGAGAAGTCCCTGGATCCCGATGCCCCACAAGTTCGCCCTGGTGATGTTCAGAAGCCCGAGAAGTCCCTGGATCCCGATGCCTCGCAAGTTCGCCCTGGTGATGTTCAGAAGCCCGAGAAGTCCCTGGATCCCGATGCCCAGCCTCTTGGAACAGGTTCACAGCAGCAGACCCAGCAGGATGTGGATGGCCTGTCGCCGAAGGTCCCCTGGATCCCTGCAGCAACCGGATCCCAGCAACGAGCACTGCACCGTGCCTGGAATGCAATCCAGATTCCATTCATCTGTGGTACTTGTTGCTCAGACAGCTCCTAGATCAACAACTATACTACAATCCCGACAGGCTAGTATTTATACTTAGACTGACTAGTACTCATGATCGGAGACTGCAACAGAAGCCACACCACGTCATACGAAGGTGTGATCACACAGGCCGTGGATGCAGCACAAGGTCTTATTATTAATAACAACAATATACTACCAATATTCCAACTTTGCAATGTCTCCCTTGAGTTTCGGCCATGCATGGAACATGGCATGCATGCAGGTGTGATTACGTGCATTTTCCTATTATATGTATACATAGTACTTGGTCGATATAATATACACATAAATGTGTGTGTGTGTGTAACTCATGTTGAACCAATCAGATGCATCCGATCACTACATATATGTAGTCAATCGGTGTTTGTGTATATATATATATATATGTATATACAGCAGTATAATGCAGCTGTGCTTAGACATGCAACCGATGTACACAGTACATGTCATGATCATCGTATCCATTAATTTAGCAGTCAACATGATTGCGAATCGAGCCGAGGCCCAAGGCACCTGGACTCGCAGAGCACCATGAGCATCGGCTCGTACAATCCCTCGCCGAGCAGGGCGGAGAAGGTGTGCGAGGCACTGTTGGACCATGGACTACCCAGTCCGGATGAACGACATGACTGTGGGCAGCAACCACCGCTTGCTTTGCTTGACTATGTGTTCGGCGAGGGGGGTGAGAAGGCCAATGGTCTCGGGGAGGTACAGCGAACCTTTTTGATCTTGAAATGGACAAGAACGATTGGGGCCATGGGCTTGGATTTCAAGGATGTGGATGCGACCAACGGCCATCTCGCAGCAAAGCTTCACGACACGTCCGTGCGGTTCTCAAAGGGACAAGCCGCCCTGGAGACGCTTGGCAAGGATCTGGAAAAAAGCATCGGCATCATCACTGGCTTAGGAGACAAAAAGAGGTCAGAGATCCTACACATCAAGGACCCCGCCATCTTCAAGCAACAGCTGCAGAAGATCGACGACTGGACGACCCAAAAGATGAACGAGAAGCGGGACTTCTTCTCGAAGGAGACGAATCGTGTGCATGAGCTGCAGGTGGCTTTTGCTTCATCTCTCATGGAACTCTTGGACGCAATTGAAGCTCAGCACTACAATCGGTTACCGACGGAGCCGGAGGTTGACATCACCAGCGACCTTGAAGCACAGCTTCAGGCCTTGTTGCTCGAGTCACATGGACCCGACAGTGCTGCCGGAGCCAGCCCACCTCGCAAGGTGTTGCTGGCTGTCAAAGACGAGGTGACTTGGGTGCAGGGTGCAGGCTATGACATCTTTTATGATGACTAGTACTAGTTTTAAAACCCTGCTAGCGATCCCCAGCTAGAATAAAACTTAAGCATCATAATACATGCGTGCATAGGGCAGGCCGTGCAGCAATGTGAGCATCTAGATCTTGGTCATGGTTGAGGTCTCATGATCATATACTAACCCCACGGGTACGAGTTTCGCTAGGTCTCTGAAGTGGGCATCATTATAATGCACCGTACACATGTATCGATAAATAATACATGCACATGTATATACTGCACTCCATTGAAAGAGGTTCTTGGAAACGAATATGGCATTTTAGTTATATATCATGCCAACCAAAACCAAACAGCAGACTACTCCATAAAATAGTCTTCCGAAGCACCTTCAGCGCTGAGATGCCCGGCCATGATCATGATGCTCCACCGGAGCCATCCGGACCAGCCTCCAGTACTCCGACGGGCCAGGCGGGGTTCTAGATTGTGAGAGTACCTGTACATGTGTTTGATCGAGACCCTGCTGTAGCTGCCCTCGAGCCCGCTTATCCCCAGTCCGATGTTGCTATTGTGTATATATAATTAATCATTAATCAGTCGAGGCCACAGCGACAGCAGATCCTGGTCCCGATGGTCCCGATGCAATGGTGGAGGCGAAAGAGCAGAAGCGACTGCTACACAATGCAAGAGTCACCTTCGATCGTCGGATCAAGGGCAGCTAGACATGATCTAGATGTTGAGTGTTGCTTGATGGTACTTCTGTGTGTTCTGCTTCGATTCAGAAATCATTCCCATCATCCCGATCACGGTAATCCTCTGCCAAATCTGAGGTGGTGACTGTCCGCCCGAGATCATGGACAAGGTGCAGTCCTTGCAGGGACAACCAAGCTTCATGTCTGCAATATGCATGACAAATTCTTCAGAAAGCTTCAGGAATTCACACAGTGGCAATCGAATGGCACAGGTGTGGATCAGGGGGAGGTTGTAGGCTTCGTGTTGAATCTAGGTCGACCCATAAGCCGGGAGCATGATGCATGATGGCTGCGACTGCTAAGACCGCCTCAAGCAGCTGGGCCAGCTCTTCAACGAGTGGTACAAGAGTGGCCAAGACTTCATGGGCACAACAATCATGCAGGAGGCGAGCCAACGAATCTCAGACGAATCCAGAGGAAAACAAATCATGATGAGCTTCAAGGCGATGAAGGAGAAGTACGGAAAGAAGACCGCGGAGAAAATCCGCGACAGGAAGAAAGAGGAAGAGAAACATCGCAATCCTAACCTGGAACCTCGAGCTTTCTGGTTCGCCCATCCCGAAGCCATTGATGACCCAGCCACTCGGTGATAAGCTAGCATGTGCTGTTGAAGTGTAACTACAACCGGTACCCTGCGATGTAGACATGTACCATAACAATGTATAATACCCTGGACCCATGCATGGCCACCCCACAATGCTCCTCGTCCAGGACTGGGAAATGTTCAGATGCTTTGATAGCCTCGAGTTTGAGATGCGGGACATCAGCTCTTCATCGAAAGGATTCGCTTCGACCGCGAGCCTGCAACCCGATGCCACTGCCCAGCTTGCGAGCCCCTGCTACAATTATCCCAACAATGTCATTAGTACGTACTAAGAATGCAAATCTATGAGCAGTGTACGGATGACAATCATTCAGATTTGGATAACCCTGTTAATTATGTCAAGGCCATTGCTCCAAGACATGACGAAGTTGGGAGACCGGAAGAGTCAGTTCGGTATGAGCGCCGCACCGGCCCTCCGCCAGCTCAGCTCCAACGACAGCCTGGCGAACCAGCTGCAGAATGACAAGCCCGGCAGAAAGGTGAATGCATTTGCCCTGACGAAAAGGCTCAACAGCAAAATTCAAACGATGTCTGCGAAACTCACGGACATCATGGTGTGGTCGAAGGAGGTTGCCGACTCTAAGTTGCTGCCACTTGGTCCTTCGAAGTCGTTATTAGAGTAATCATCCGTATAATAATGCTTCGCCAGATTGTGCAGAGTGCCGGTGATTTGTTCCTGCTTTCTTGAAACCTTAATTATTCATGGTAATTATATCATGATATGTCGGTATCAATATTCCCAGGTCGGAGAAGACGAAAGAGGGCTATGTGGAGCAGCTGGGAGTCAAGAACGACGAGATTCAGTCCCTGAAGACCGACATGGAGCAGCACTTCTCCAAGTACAGCAAGATCCAAGACAAGGATTTGAGCTCGGAGGTTTGCACTGCGATCGATGAGGCGATCAAGGCAGCAGACTTGGCCATAATCGACTTGACAGGCTGTCTGAAGCCGATCAAGCTTGCACTCGAATCTTGGATGTTTAATTTTACGAGTGTAGCCTTGTAGCTCTCGTGATCTTTAAGGTCACAATTTTGCTCAGGATTTGATAAGGTATATCTTAGAATATATATATGTATATATAATTTACAATATATTTATATACATATATATGTATATATATATATATATGTAGGTATTGTAATCCTCCCTAGGGGTCCAAAGGACCCAATCAGGTACTTGGGTTTAGGATAGTAGTTATGTAGGTTACTATTTTGGGGAGTATATGATAATGAGGTACTTGGACCCTTAGGGTTAATTACGCACTATCCCAGGAGCCACCGAAGCAGCCGAAGGCCAAGGTCAAGGCCAAATCTCGATGAGGAGCTGCAGTGATTGTGACCTGCAGCAGGGATCGCAGTTAGCAGAGCTTGCTGGGCCGGCAATGTAGCCGTGGGATGGCATGCATGTTTACGGATATCGGAACATATAGCTGTGCATGCCAGGTCCATCGATAGGCATATCTAGCTATAGCTAGAATCGAAGTTCATTTCAGAAATGTGTGCCCTTCCATGCATTTGCCTGTCTAACCTGCGGCTGGTGAGCATTGCTGGATTTTGTGTCAAGCCGGATCCCATTTTTTTGGAAGGATCGGGCAAAAACCTGATCGAACACAAGAAAGCCTGAACAAGCACACTAATTCTCTATATAGGCTTGTCTTATAATTATAACATTCGTGCAATAGTTCGAAGGCTTGCTTCAAATGGGGGGAGCAACGACTGCCGGGATCGCTCTACGTTCCTGGCCATGTGCTGTCGCGACGAATAAAGCTCAAGTTTCATGCTGACCTTTTGATGAGTGCAATGCGATTCACCGTGTTGCTGTCGAGCATTATTCCTCCAATTCCCACTCCCTCGCAGGCGATCTCGCGAGGGCGAGAACGTCGCCTATGTTCAACCATTTGATGCGAGCAGTTGGCCGTGGTGCCACTTGATTGCATATGCCATGCTCAGTTTGTTCGCCCATGATCGGTGTTGCACCCCTCGTCCTGACAGGCATCCTTTACGAGTGCCCGCGAATCGTGCCAAGCCATGAAAGAGGACTGCAGCTGGCCACCATGGATACTTGCAAACGGTGTATAATTTAGAGAACTCATGCGATCATCCAAACACGTGCTATCATGATCATGCTATGCAGGAGATGAGCGGCAATTATGGCATCAAGATGACTGGCCGGTTGGCCAGGCTCGAGGCCGCTGGAGCACATGGGAAATGGAGCAGCAACATACAAAAGGATGTGTTACGGGCAAGCTCCACGGGAGATGATGTGTCTTGCTATCCAATTATGAGCGAGAGAGGGGGGAGCATGCATGGCAAAGCCTCGCAAACCCTGCAGTCTGAACGAGTCCGCTTGCCCACGATTTAAAATGCGCCGTATCACTAGTCCAGCCTGAGGTTCCCATCGATATGGTGGATGTGCCCATCAAACCTGAGCGAGGCAAGCTGAAGATGACAACCAAGCCACTTGCCACTTATCAAAGCCTTGTGGAGATTATGTTTCGGGATTGTGCCCACCTAGTCCTGGCATGTACGGATCGGGTATAGATCGTACTCGTCTACAATGGGGCTCGCAAACACGTTAAGACAGACCGTTGTATTGGGATTAAACTTTATAATTATAAGGTCAATGCCTGTGGTCCTCCCTCACAAGCTGGTTCCCTGGCTTATTCGCATTGGCAAATGGCCGACGAGTGTTATATCTGGTGTTCGTCGTTACTGGGAGCATCACAAGCACTGGAACACTGGAATAGCAGCCCCTTCGACTGCACACCACCCTCCGTGGATATGGGGCGATGACTGTAGATATGGGAAAAAGTTTAACCAAAAGGTTATGGTTTGCATGATGGGGCACTGCCTGGACAACAACCGGAACTCCTACGAGAGCTGTTTTCCTCTTTGGGTCTGTGGCTGTGATTCCCGATGAGCTTTAGCATTCGAATTCTTGAATTCCGTTTGTATATATATATATATATATATACTTAAATTGTATTTTTCGTTTGTAGTACTGATGAAACCCGGCCATATATATATATATATATATATATATATATTATACGTGTACTCATGAAACCCCATTCTGAGCGCCTAGCCTTGTCCAAACTTCATCATAAATCCGAGGAGCTGAGCCTGGGTATGGCTACGATTGCAGCCTACATGCGGCCGGTGCCACGGCGGAATGTTGCAATTGGTGTCAACTTAAATTTACGGTTCGAGTTAATTTAGTCGGGTTGATTATGATCATGTATACAAATATATAGCCGATGATCAGGTGGTGGCAAGCCTGAACCTTCTAGTGGAAGGTGTACCTCTGAGCCGCTCCAACCCGTCTCCGGTCTATGGAATGTGCACGGAAGTACGGGGAGATTGGAAGTGGCAGAAGGACTTTTGGGCTAAATCTACCGAGTATTATTTTCTGTAGTATGTTATAACATTATAGAGACCGAATCGAACCTGTACGTATATACGGTGCAGGAGTGGCTGGGGCTGAAAACTGGATGGAGCTCACATGAGCTCTGCCACCAATGCAGGATGACACATTCTGCATATGCAGTTGTACCAAACATTTTGTCTGAGCTACCACGACGCAGCATTGATGAGATCCTCCGAAATTGTGTGCACCCGGGAATTACAAGTGTCCGGGTCGCATTTGTTCTGAAAGCCTCAAGCTTATATGACCCGAATCGAACAAATCATGATTGCTAATCTGCGACAACATTTTAGCTCCAGGCCCCCTCTTCGACTTGGCCGGTTTATGCCCCACCACCTTCAAGTGGTGCAGCATGCACGTAATCAATCTTGGAATTGCTTTATGGGTGGTGGGCAGCTGCTTCAAGCTTCTCCTTCTGGAGTTTGATGTATGGGGAGCCGGGACTGATGCAGAGAGACTTCAGACTGCCTTCGAAAACTTTAAGTCCTGGTGCTCTGTGCGAAAGATCCCGCCGCTTTGCAGGGCAACTGGTTATGTTCGATGTTCAGCTGTTGCAATTGTGTATGTCCCTAAAATATATATTGCATTGGGGAGTGCATCGAAATCAAGGAACACACAGCCTCGATTTACCACTGCTTCTTTGCGATCGCCGGACGGGCCGTACCCTGAATTACGAGCCAAGGCCTACAATGTTACAGACTTGCACATATGAGGGTCCACTTTTCTATTTTCGTATTTATATAAAATAAGCATAATAGGACTAGATCTAGCATATCAAATAATTATTAGCTTAGGCCCGAGTCGTCGTGGCATGGTTGGCAGCCTTTCTTATGGAGCTCTACTTGGGCTACACGTGTGGTGCACCTGAAGATCTGAAGCTGATGGCCGAGTGCACGTATCTCGTATGAATATACATGTGTGTATATGATCCAAATCGGGGCTAGAGCGCTCGGTACCGGTTGATTTTTGGGCTAGCTAGCTACCTCGGGATCCGGATGACGGTCGTGATCATGGTACTTACTTATAATCGTAGCCCAATTATTACTTATATTATGTCGCTACCAAACCACGAAACCCTTATTGCAGGCATTACCTGGCCTCGTGGTTCAACCATTCGGAAGATGCGGGCCGGTACCTCTCAGAGGGGCAGGCAGTCAGGATGATGGAGTGCTGCGAAGCTTGGCTTGATTGTGGTATCAGCTATAGTACAAGCGAGGATTCGGAGTTGAATTACCAACGATTGCATTGCAACGAGGACAGGTGTTTGATGGCCTACATGATCCTCGCGGAGAAAGCTGCTTCCTACCACAGGCCTCTGTGGCCGCTGAAGCCGAAGATTCATGTGTCCAAGTTGCAAGAAGTGTGTCTATGCAATCCGCAATTAAAATGCCATGATCATGATGATGATCGATACTTGGACGCTTTAGGCGTGGCAAGAGCTTGCATGGCATCAACTGATGCATCGCAACTTGGATCAAAACACTTTCTGAAGCTATGCAGATCGCGATATCCAGCTCCAGCTGCTGCTGTTCTGAGGTGAGGGCTGCAGAATGTACCACTGCTTTATGCAGGAGGATTCCGTGGGCAAGATCTCACGACCTTTAGCTGCAAACGATGTGCTGCAACCCAAAGCTATTGAATGCAATCCGCTAGAATATATATCCCGAGGACTAGCTGCGGTATGCCACCCTTGGACTCTGGTGGATATTGCTTTACGGCGGTGGTACCTGCAGTTGGTGTTCGGCGATGACAAACATGCCGAGGGCGCATGAGCATCGCGAGAAAAGTCGCCCATCCAGCAGGGGTCAAGGGCCGAGATTGCAGCGGCCCACCCCAAACGTTCAGCATGCACAATCCAAGGCCTCAATCATACTAATGAGCTAAAATCGTATGCTACAACTACAAACCCCATAAGTAATATGAACCACACTTTCTACCAGCGAGTCCTCTTATGCACACATGCCGTGAACAAGGGCTCTTTGAAAGAGTACATGATAATCACATCCTTTGGACCCTTGGGGTAATAATTGGGTATTTTTTGTTTTCCTTGTTTCAAGGCATTATATACCCGATCAGCCCGGGATCATAAGTTACTTTTTGTTGGTAGGGTTTGCCTTAACCCTGAAAAAAACCTACCTTTTAGGGTTCCCTCTTATGATTTCCTTGTATTAAGTCCTCAAAAAGGTAGTCTCTTCAGGGTTAAGGTGGGGTTACAGGTAAACTGAGCTCCTGTCCTCAACCCTATGCTCGGAGTCCCCGCGAATCGCTCCCCCCTAATCTTCTGGGTCAGGGCAGGCATGACTTTGGGTGGACTACAAACCTTCATAGTATTACATGTATATACTGTGTTGGGGTTCCTTTCTGTAGTTGTGGTATAATGGCCTCAAAACCCCATTCTAAGTATTAAGGCCCCTATATTAGTGTTTGCATTACTTCCGAACAGCAGGCCAAGCCCTCAATGGACGAGTTGCTTAATTGCGCAGCACGACGCATAGCACGCGTCGCCATTTTGGCGGAGAGAAGGCTGTACCCAAGGGCCCCAAAGTAGTTCCTTTTTGGGGTTCATATATAGAATCCTATCG